AAGTTATTATTGTTAAGCTGACTGCAATACGTAGAGGAGGGCAAGGAGAAGGAATCACAAATTATTGAAGGCGAAAAGGATTTATCTGATGGAACGACCAGTCCTTGGACTGGAAAAAAAATGAAGTTCTAAAATCGGAACATACAGAATTGTCAAGTTCGGCATTTCTGAATACTCTGGTGGGAGATATCCTGTTAACTTGTTGTTATCCAAAAGGCTGTCATGGTTCACATATTAATGAGTAGAACATAACAACTATGGTGCACTGCACCTATTCAGAGTATTTGTTCTTTACAGCCAAAATTAGTACAACATTACAATTTAAAACATGAAACTTACAAGTGTTTAAGAAGAGGAAGGGCCGAAAGCTCAGGAGGAAGCTGGCCACTAAATGAATTGTTGTTCATGTGGCTGCATTTTCATATTGATGTTAAAATATGCCAAAATTTTCTGTAATTATAAAGACATTTGATTCCAAGGGAAACTCACAAATGTTGAACTTTGGGCAAGTTTACAAATGATTTTGGGATTGATCCAGATATCTGATTCAGGTCCAACTGAAATTTATTCAAGTTTGGGAGATAACCAAGTTCATCGGGTAACGGCCCCAATAGTTGATTTCCACTCAAAAGCCTGCAATATAAAACAAGAGTTGTTAGAGATTCTCATAGTGTACATCACATCTCAGCTGGGAGGACTGGTGTAGTGGGTTGGCTAGACTAAAAATTGCCGTCTAAAACCTGTGACTATACCTAAGAAATGGAAGTTTTTGTCTTAAGATTTATGTGATAGCATTTATTATAAAAAAACGTAGCAATGAACTGAATAAGGTGTTGAAAAAGGGCTCATGATGCCAACCCCAAATTTATTGAACAAAAGGCCTAGTTTGTTGTGTATCTCATCTAAAAGACTTCATAAAACTAACATGATTCATGATTTAAAATCTTGAAAACCATTCAATAAAAATGAAATTCATTTAGTAGAGTTAAAGGTATATAAAATCTTGACAATCTACATACAGGAGCTCAAGAGCAGTAATGTTGCCAATCTCCTTCGGAATGCTGCCACTGATATTGTTCCACATAAAATCCCTGACATCAAAGTGAGGAACCCTGATATCGAAAATCCCCCAGTACATAATACAATAGAAGATATACAAATATGTGGAGGCTCACAATCTTTTCATATGAACTAGCTGACCCAGCTCAGGAGCTAATATACCAGAGAGGTTATAATGCATCAAACGCCTGCATAACCAGGTGAAGGGAATAAGTTCAAAAGCACCATA